AGACGCAGGACACGGTGAGCAGCACGATCGGACGATGGATGTACTTCATTGACCAATTTGACTTCACACCGAAACATGTCCCCGGCCTCTCCAATTGCGCAGCACATGCACTCTCGCGAAGACCTGATCTTTGCGCTATGACACATCATGCCTTCGCATTCGACGAGGAGCTTCAGCGACACTTCATCCGGGCATATCAGTCTGATCCGGAATTCGGCACGCTCTATGCACTGCTATCTTCGGATCAATCGACRGCYAGCCATTACCGCATTGCCGACGGGTACTTGCTCCTCCACTCGAGAGGCAAGGACTTACTATGTGTCCCACGCGACCGTCGTCTTCGGACTCGCCTCCTCGGTGAGTATCATGATTCACGACTCGCCCGCCATTTCGGAGTCAACCGCACTATTGCACGGCTTTGACAGCGATTCCGATGACCCGACCTCATTACCGATGTCACTCGGTATTGCGACTCTTGCGAAGTTTGCCGACGCAGCAAGCCCCGCAACCGCAATCCCTACGGCGAGTTACACCCGATGCCTATCCCACGGGAGCCCGGTCTCTCCATTGCCATGGACGTCACCGGTCCGTTTCCTCGCGACCGGCTCGGGCACGACGGCATCCTCACGGTTGTAGACCGATTGAGTAAGTACGCGCATTTTCTCCCTTGCAAGTACTACTCCACGGCTCCTGAGCTGGCACGCCTCTTGCACACTGGTTGGATTTGTGGCCACGGTGTACCAGAAAACATTGTCAGCAACCGCGACACTCGTTTCATGTCGGCGTTTTGGACTGCTCTCATGCAGGAGTCCGACACAACAATGAAACCAAGTTCGGCTCGACATCCTCAGACAAAAGGGCAGACGGAGCGGGCACATCAAACCGCTCAAATGATGCTTCGTACGCTCATCCGTCCGGACCAGAAAGATTGGGTGGACCGCCTCCCCGACATTGAATTCGCCTACAACACTTCGGTGCATCCGGCGATCGGCGTGACTCCATTCGAGTTGCACCACGGTGGACGGAAAGGCCGGATCTTCGCCGACCTTCTCCTCCCTCGACCAGCCGACATTGACGCTGCCTGCTCTCCCGCTTCCGTCCGGAAGTACAGGGAATTGCTGACTCAAGCCCGCGCACATATGCAAAAGGCTCCAGTYCGCATGSAGCAGCAAGCCAACAGGCGTCTCGTACCATGTCCCATTCGCGCCGGTGATCTGGTTTGGGTCTCCGYGGAAGAGTTTGCACTKGAACAGGATGTTTCATGCAAACTGCTYMCCAAGTGGTTTGGACCTTGGTCTGTGACAGCAGCCGCGRGCGATGAGCCCGATGGACCTTCATTTGTRATCAACATTCCAGAGCATCTGACGGTCCATCCGGTYTTCCACGCCTCGAAGCTGGCAACATACACGCCAGCCAAGAGCGACGACTTTCCRGACCGACGATCGCAGGACCCTCCTTCTATGGATGGCCATCAGGAAGTTGACCGCGTCATCTCCGATCACAAGTACGGCAGCAAGCCGCGGCAGTACAAAGTCACATTCAAACCATGCGATCGCGACGACACTCGGTGGATGTCAGGCGCAGATTTGAAAGCATCCGCACCACTGATCTATGCGCATTATGAAAAGTGGAGGTTAGCTCTGGAAGCTTCACGACCAGCCCCTCCCACCCGGACTGTGGTCCCTCCCTCAGACAGACAGCTTCGCCCTCGCAGGTAAGCTCGGTTCTTCAAGGAGGGGGGGGTGTGGCATACAACGTAGCCACACGGGCCCTGCAGGGCCCGTCCCGGACATTCAGCCTAAAAGCTTTAAACTTAGGGCTTACAGGCCCCGGTCGTTTCAACCTGAAAGTTGAAAAACGAGGGCCTGCAGGCCCTACCCCGTTTCAGCCTATTTCTGGGTCTTTTCAGACCCAGAGTTTTCAGCCTGAAACGGAGGGCCATTTTCAGGCCCTCATTGTTTCAACCTGCCCCTAAGACTCAGGCAGCTAAACAGGGATGCGAAACAGGCCAAGAATAGCCTGTTCCTCAAGTGCTCGAGCAGGAGCTGCAGCTGCAGCCCCTGCCTTCCTTCGGCATTGTCAAGAGCAGCCTCCTGGACTCTGCTCGCACGAGTCAGGAGGCACACCCGAGAAGTACATAGGACTGTCCTAGGCACTTCACGGGTAGGTAGTTTCGGTAGGGACTGGTAGTCTTCAGAATTCGGCCGCAACACTCAGGAGGAGCGCTGCAGTAGTCTCCAACGCTAAGTGGTAGTAGCGTTAGCTGTAGTCTTCGGCGCTGGGCGCCATAGCCATAGAGTAGTCTCCAGCGCTGGGCGCTGGTAGGTGGTAGATCGTAGAGTGGGAGAGAGACTGGCGGAGGCCAGTGGTACTTACCTGTGGCGCCATCACTCCCAGCTCCATCTTCGTGGTACCTGCATCAAGGCGCCAACTTCACAGGTTAGTACTGGACACACAAAGAGAGAGAGTTCTTCTTCTTCCTCTTCTAAGTCCACCTTCTCTTCTCACCCTCTCGCCACCTGACTTCTCAGACTAC